TTTCCACTAGCGAATTTTTCTGCGCGAAGCGACCTTTTTCTTTTGTCGGCATCCATTTTGCAGCCCTCGAAAAGTCAAAACCGTCAAAATTGAGGTCCGCAAAAGAGGGCCGACCTAAATCTGACCTAGGTCGGCACATCTCGGCATTTCTTAAAATCTGTTCCACGTCTTGGAGCAATATTAATCACGCATTTACGAATCATTGAAATCGGAATATAACTGGAACGTTACCTCCAGCCGGAAAATTCGAAAGTTGGAGCCAAATTTTAACTCCAGACGCGCGAAATTTGATCTTCAAACATCTAACGTATATACACAATACCTGTCAGTTATTAAACCTTACACCGTAGTGTGTTCAGTTAATCGAATTCGCTGACATTTTAAAAGCTATCAGCATAAAAAATTCTTACTTTGGTTGAATTAAGGTGGGCAAAAATTTGCATTTAGCCCGGCATTGCCGAATGCCGACCTCGTTTTCGAGGACTGATTTTGCCACGTCTTGCTGACGCAATAAGTGATACCGACAAAGGAAAAAGGTCGCTTCGTGCGAGAAAATTCGCTAGTGGAAAACCGACTTTATTGCCTCTTTTATAGAACAGTATAATAAGCAACAACAACAACAACAACAACAACAACAACAACCACCACCACCAAACAAATTTAATTACCTAATTATGATTTCAATAATATTATGTTTTTGGACTAGCTGCCAGAAGTGAAGATACTGTATTCGAAAAAATTTGCATTGCTGCATGTGGTTTCTTTGATGCATGCTATTCGTGATATTCGGTTTGAATTCAATTATTCAGGAGGTCAATTTTGGTTTCTTCAGTGGTTATCTTTAGCCAATCCAGTTTTGCCGACTGAGACAACAATTTGCCGATTAGCTGACGAGTGGGGGGGGGGGTGTTCCACCCCCCCTGTAGCGCCGGCCCTGCAGACGAGAGTTCATAAAGCCCGTTTTCCACTCACATATTTCGCCGCAGGTGGCGAAAAATTTCGCCACCGAAAAAGTTCATTTGTTGTTCTTTCGCGCCGTCAACGAAAGGTCAAACAGAAGTTGAAAATTTTAAGCAACTGTAGCAGGAGAACAAATTTCTTCAGCGGCGAATGAATGTAAAAAAATGATTTCTTTGTCAAAATTTTTCGCCAGCGGCGGTTCGATACGTGAGTGGAAAACGGGCTTAAGACAGAAGAATGCAGTCGGTTCGCGCGACAAAATTCGCTAGTTTGAAGTAGTTAATATATTATTACCTACTCTGCATAGAAAATGGCCAGACATGTCTTCTACACAAACCTGTAATTTCATTTTTTCTGCTGATGTTGCTTCATATTCAAGTTCTTTAAAAACGGAAGAAGCATAAGTCAGAATAATAGGTTCAGATTTGATTTGAAGTTCACATTTGACTTCTACTACCAATCTACCATTAAGGGACTATTAGCCAATCAGACGCCTTTGTATATTCGATTAACCAATCAGATGCGTATACTAAGCCAGTGAGAAGTAGTGGTAGCGGACATAACAGCTCTTTAAACAAAAATCGTCCTTAACATATTAATTGGAGGACTTTTCACCAAATGAAACCAAAGGTGGACACTGGCAAAATACTGCATGCATGAATACTGTTCGACCAAACTGTATTCTTACTTGCAGTGCTTGACGCTTCTTCACTCTGTATTCGGCGTTCTTCCAATTTTACACGATGTTGATGTAACTCAGCAATATATAGTTCAAACGTTGATCTAGCGGGGGGAAAACGTACTGAGTTAAAGGGTTTTGTTTGACGTTTGACAGTAAAAGATAAATTATTGTATGTCTTGGCCAAGTTCTCTTACTTGTCAGTTTCAAGCGATTCTTTTTTTTCTATCAAAGCTTCAAGTTTTGACTGAAATGATTCAAAAACATTTTATCAAAAGAATTTTACTGTTACAGTATGACCTTAACGATCAAAACAGTACAGAAAAATGAAATTTGCGATCATATCATTAGTGTACATTACATTATGATTCAAATCACTCCACATCGGGGCTTTTCAGTGACCGATGACATCAAATATTACGTTTACCTATGTGTACAGGTACATGCACTGTTTATTTTTATAACAATTGTAATATTATCTTCCTAACGATGTTTATCCCAACGCACCCTGTGGGAGAAAACCGGAATGGCGGGAAAAAACCCACGACTTTCGGCAGAGCGTTGACAGAATCTTTTTTCACATGCGAGTCCATAACAAGAAACGAACCCAGTGACGACGCAAATTTCGAAACCGTCGACGGTCGAGCACATCATTGATGGTCGAACACATCATTAATTTCGTTCCCAAATGGCGTCCGGTAATTAGCGCGCGGAACCATTTGCTGACATCTAATACCAAGTCGATGCCAGTAAGGATTTCGCGCAGTATGATAATATAAGGTTTCAGATTTTTGAAAAGATGGCGGGTAGCATCGAAAGGCAAAGCAGCCAATTCGGTTTTGTGGTCATTATGCCTTCCAAAAAATTGTTGCAGCAAAAATATCTTTTAAAATTTATCATTTTAGCTTAAAATTCGACCAGTCCTCGGATAAATTCTTGTGAAGTAAAATATAGACAACCATCTCAGAAGTTGTGAGATCAGAACGAAATAGAAAAGAGCACGTGGGAAAATTTGATCGAAATTTATCGCATTTTAAACTCGGCATTTGGGGGTTATAAGTTTATCGCTAGCATATATAAGAAAATAACGATAATAATAGTACGTATACATTCATTGCGATTATAATGGGATCGATCATTTAGGGATTTGTCTTTCAATTTTCGCATTGTTTACCTCATCAACTAATGAAGTTACAGCAGTCGTTTATACACAATATAAGCCAGTTTTTTCGTCCTTTAAGGTGGCTCCCTACAGTTGTACAGAAACAGCAGCAAAAAATAAGGTCGTCACAATGACGCAAAATATTTGCTATTTATGTGAAATGGGGGTCTTTTTGAAAGTAGAAACGCTTGCATAATCTTTATACTTCAAGTGTAATTGTTCGAAAGAAGCAAATTGTGTGTTGCTGTGGTAACAATGTAGCCGAAGCAACAACAGACAAAGATCAAATTTTGGACTAAAAATGAATTTATTAAAATTTCCTTCGGTCAAAGTTGCTGAAATTTTGTAGGTGTAAAGAGAATAAGTAGTGGAAGATTATATCAAAAAATTAGGCAGGGTTATAAATTCAGTTTTTGAGATATTACGTGAAATTTGTTCCACAAAAACTGTTTTATAGAATTTTTTAAAAATTCAGTATATTGCAATAAATGACTAGTACTTTTAAAATACAAAATTTCAGAAAAATTGACCGAAGGAAAAAAAAGTTATTGCATTTACAAAACTTGCGCGGTCAAATGAAATGTTTGTTGACGTGATAAAATTTCAACTCCACAAGATTACCATCTGAGCATGCGCGCCCATCTATTGCGTGACTTACACGCAAAAGCCTCATTGTTCATGTTGACGTTCGAAGTACGTTAGGATTGAGGCACAGAATAAGGATCAGTACCTGAAGGGCCACTCAGCGGTGCAACGTGTCGCCATTTTTCTATGCAAAAATATGCAGTTGACTGGCCAGAAGGCGGGGCCTTCAGCCAATACAGCGCGTTTATTGGCCAGAAAATGTTATCGACTAGCTAGGAAGATGGCGGCCAGGGGGCCCTTCTGTGTGCCTTATTCTGTGATTGAGGAGAGAATTCGAGGTGTTTTAGTGACTCTTGGTTTTGTTGATTGCTGGTGACTTGTTGGTGGTTTGGATAATATAGCAAACAATCCTTTCTTGCCAAATTCAGCGAACACACGTTGAAGATCGTCGAAATTCAAGCCGCTACCAGCTATCTTCTCAGCCATGCTCGTGCTAATTGCTCCATCGTTGCCTCCATCGCTATAAAGTTTACCTTTCAGTGTCTGCAGTAGTTCGTGCCGTTTGTCCAAGTACTGGCAGTCGTTTAGTGCATCGGAACTCTAAACAGGCTTGCAATACGATACGATGTCTTCTTCCGAAAGACGAAGCGGCGAAGCAAACAGAATTCGACGTAGGGCAATAACATCTTCTAAGGCGTCGTGTGCATCAAATGTCTCGTTAAACAAACGGTCGTAAAATGCTGATTCTTTCGACGAACAACTTTGGCCATTAGACAGATTTAGTGCTTCATGTTTGCTTTTCACCAGATGATCGAACAGGGATAGGCTATCACCAAACCAAATTCCCATCGTCTGTAATTTCGCATGAACTTCATTGCAACTGTGGCGCAAAAAAATTGGGGTGTCAAATTTCTTGGAGTTATGGCCGATGAGAAGCGTGCAAATATCTTTCGTTGTTTTACTTCTGAGATTGTCGATGGATGTTTTTAGGTAAACGATAAAGCGGGACAAGGCATCATCACAGGTAAGGGTTTTTACAGCTGTTGTTTCTTTAAAAAGTGTTCGTTTCCCGTTCAGAGTTTTTACCGAGAGTTTGTTTACTCTTGAAGCATGTTTGTCAATGTCTTTTGTGGGCAAAATATACTCTGAAAACGAAT